TGCTTAGTTAAACCCATGCAGACCAATTATTGTACTTAGCCAGGGTCTCTGTTGCCTGCTTTAAAATACAGTCAACAATTCTGCACTGCCCACCACAGGCATCCACAGGGATGTCTGCATACAAAAAAACACAAACAAAAACAAACAAAAAAAAACCCAACCAAAACCCCAAACAAACAGACAAACAAAAAAATACCCCAAGCACTGCAGCACTGTTGGATGAGGGCAGGAGCTGAAAAAACAGAACAAGCAGTAAAATGCCCCATAAGGGTCTACAAGCCTGCAAGCCTGGCAGCAATCACTTGTATGCAATAAAACACATGAGACTTGAGCACATGACTGTGCAGCAGCAGGAACAGCAACAAGATGTGGTGGATAAGGAAGGTAGGAGACACACCCCCAGTCTCCCCTGACCCCCTGTTTGATACACACAGAGGAGCAAAAGCGACCATCCAATAGCACATCAACAACATACTGCACATCAACAACATACTCAAAATGAGCTGCTTTCCTCCACATGTTTCTGCACTTCAGTGCAGTTGGGTCACATCATATTGACACCTGCTCAAAACTTACCTCTCACCACCTATTTCCTCAGCTGACAAGAAGCAGACATGAGGTCTTATCACCTTGGTGGGCACAATTCTGGCTGGCGCAGAGGGACACTGGTGGCTGCAGTTACACGTCTGCACCCAGGCCAACTCTGCTCTGCTGGTTTTATTGCCATCTGCTTCAGGGTTACAAGCCTTTCAGCATCCTCAGTGTTGAGTAAGTTCACGCCCCCAAGCACCATAAACTTCTACAACCACCGTAACTCACAGGGTAAGGATGGCTATGAAATCATGTCCTAAATTAGGACAGCAAGGACCTGAGATTGGAAGAGTAGGATGAAGTCAGGAAATCCCAGGAGAAGATGATGGGGGAGGGATTTAGTCTTTTCAGAAAACAATAATGCAGTTTAATCTATTTTTCTTTCCACTTTACACACTAAAATAAGCTTCTCAGCTTCTGGGGCTGTCACAAATCATAAGGAAAATAAGGCCACTGGAACCCCATCAGTAGAATAAGCTACATAGTAATAATCCTGAGGAGGTGTGCAGTGCTTTCCATCTTCAAAGTGTTTTACAGACAGTACTTTTTTAATCTGCAAATTTCCCCTGGCCATAAACAACTGCTCTGCCTCTCTGCTAAGCACAAGACACACAGCTCAGATCAGCACTTGGGGAGAGATGGTGCTGGCAGTAGCTCTGACGTCCAGAGCCAGACTTCAGTTTCTGACTCACTGCAGTCACAACTTCGTCGCTCCAGCCACGCCCTGAACCCAGACACACTGGTGACATCCAGCACTCTGGAGCTGACTTCAATGGGGACAACAGCACTATATGAAAGCCTCCTTTACAGGGGAGTGTAAGAGCCATGCGCACAGTCCAGCAAACACAGCAAAGCCTGAAATAAAATTCCCAGGACAGAGGCTCCTGGCTGCCTTGAAGACACTGCCTGACATGCTGGGGTGTCACTGCGGGCAGAAGCTGGCCCCAGTCCCAGGCTCATCATACCACACAGCCTGTCTGATAGCCCTCAGGGGAGCTGTCAGAGGAGTTTCCTATGCAAACATGATGCTGCCTCCCACCAAAGGGCTTTTTATGCACAGCAGTTACCTGTTCACACTAGGTGGGTCCTTCAGATAATCAGCATGAGGCTGCTCCTCCTCTCCTGGCAGCAGTATCTGTCTGCTTTTCTAATTCCCTAAGACAATACTCTTCCCAGCACTCACCCTTCAAAAGCTGGAAGCTCTTACACAAAGACAGAGCAGCCTGGTCAGCAGAAAGAGAAAAATGGAACAAGGTGCACAACTACAGCTACATCTTCCACATAAGTCGATACCTAACACAGGCCAGCTTTATTTGGAAACAAAAAGATAATATTATAACATTATGTTTGTGTTTTGATGGGTTTTTTTTTGTCTAACTGGTTTTTAGTCTCTTTTGAGCCACTGTATGTTTATATAACCTCAGCAGTGCCAATGAAATCATTTTAAGACCAAAACTGGATTAATCAGGCCTTGCTATCCTTCAATGGATATCAGAACAGCTGGGTTGATTAAGCATCCTATAACAGAAGTGCAGAGACCTAGGTGTTATTTTCCATCTTAAGGATGGTTTAACTGAAGGAAGGAAAGCAGAAGACCCCAAGTACCATTGCAAACAAACTCCCAAAGGTCACAAGAAAAGAATTCAAACCTGCAGATCGTGTATATTCTCAAGACCAGAAAAGATTTGGCCTTGCATAAAACAGGAGTAAGTAGCAGACTCTAGCACAAATTCATCCTCAAGTCTCTTACTCTACAGTACTCAGACCCTGTTTCTTTCCTCTTCCAGCTTGTGGCTCCCTTTCAGAAAATGATTTTGTTTCAGCATCAGCCCCCATAGACAGCAGAGCCCAAAGAACAGATGTTTACAGCTACAGTGCTGTTGGCAAAATCTGCAGGGGGCAACTAAAGTTTGCAGATTTGTCTCTCCAGTAAGAAGAAATAGGGTGAAGTGCAATGCTGGAACTTTCTGACACACTGACAGGGAGACTGTCATACTGTCTGAACTGCATGGAAAGGCCATCTGCATTATAGCCGGAGCAGTGCTGGTGTTTTATAGCTGAAATTTATCGAGTGTTGGGTCCTCATCCCCTCTGTAAGCTCTGAGAGCCAGTACCCCTGGCTTGGGTGGTCCCTGGTCAGTGTTGCTGATCATGCTGCTGCCCCAGGAAGGGCTGCAGGGGCAGGCAGGAAAAGGGACAGCAAACTATGACAGGTCTCCTGCCCCTGGCTCCATGCCGAGTCCCCTGCCAGCCTGGGCTGAAGAGAGAATTGGTCCTGACAATACAGCATTAAATGTCTATAATAGCAAATCACAGAAAAACACACAGCTGAAATGTCAAATCCCTACCAAGTTACACATCTTAACTATCCCAGAAGCCAGGTTCTCTAGTGGAGAGCTCCGCATATCCATTGCCTCACGCATTGTCAGATCACTGTGGCAGCTACAGACTGTGTACATTCACTCCAAATAACCTCTGTTGTGCTTCCTCCACCTTCACTCCCTGTTCCAAGAACAAAAAGCAAGTTACGTTACAGGTGCTGTAACATTATCAGAGCATGTCCAGTCTCCCACACAGCTCTGTATTTACGACTTTACAAGGGTGAAATGAGCTGCAGTTGCATTTTGGTGCCAGTCTCAGGAAAACCTGCAGTGTAACAGAGGGCTGCACAGACGGTCGCCTCTCCATCCAAGTACAAACCAGCCATCCAAGTCTGTCATGAATAACAAAAGACGTTTTGACAGTCCAAAGTGGTTTATGATGTCCCTGGAACAAAAAAGGAGCTCTGAACTGAAAAGTGGGTCTGTTACCCATAGACCTGCAGAAATGAAATACACACACTAGAGTGGATTTGCAGAAGAAATGTACTTTAACTCATCAAATGTCCCATGTGCCACACTTTGACACTTACAGTCTTGGGGCACTCTACAAGGGCTACAACCATAGAGAAGAACTCTTCTAAAGGATATTTTAAAAGCATTAAATACCTCACAGAAATGCATGGAGGGTTCTGCCTGATCAGCTGGCACAAGCCAGTGTGACCCACACACCAGAGTTCCCTTTTCACAGCTCCCAGCTGACACACTCAGCTTTTAGAGTTGCTCTAACATTTCCTGGGCAGTCCTGATTCAATTGCACCTACCTCCCATTTCTGAAGAAGTCCAAGATGACTGAAAGTGGGGTGTTGTAACACTGCCTCAGCAGGAGAAGGATATTGCGTTGGTGGAGAGCAGAACAGCACATCCAGAGATTCACGCAAAGCAGGGATTTTCCCAGTGATTAACGGCAGGAACTCCTACTACCTAGGGCTTAGTGAAGGAGACCTGGTCTTTGCTGCTTCCCCATTGCTCATCATTTCCACCAGGCCCCTTTCAGACAGGGTGGGACATCCCCTACTGAATGCTACAGCCTAGTGTGAATGTCTTGGGCATTCCACAGCCCTTGGGCATTCTGCAGCCCTTGGGCAACACAAGGAGAAAAGACTCCCAGGCTTGAGCCTCTGCAATGAGTCCTGCACTGAGATGAACCTTGCTGAAGTGCATGTTGTGAATCTGGCCCAAATATTCAGTGTCGTCCAAGAGATAATGATACAGGAGCTGTTCATCTGCTCAGGGTATTAAAACTGCTTCTTTGCCAGCACTGTAGAGGGACAAAGGCTCATGGGGGAACTTGTCAATCCCCTGAACAGCCCTTATTTCTGGACATTTCCCCTTATAAAGCCTGTGTCTGTTCTTTCCTCCTTCCCCCTTTCCACTCGCCTCCTGCAAATCATGCTGTCTCTTTCCGCCCCCAAATAGGAAGTCCAGAGCAGAGACATGCACAATCTGCCTCTTTACAAGAGCTGGGCTGAATGTGTGCCAGAGGAGCTGCAAGCATGACAACATACTTCCTGTCAGGAAAGTGACTCAGTGAGATGGGTATGAGAGCTCCTCTTATGAGAAGTTCCTCTCTCCCCTTGCATGGCTGAAGCATGATTCAGAATCAAGAGCTGGAATCTTAGTCCCCTCCAGATCCAAGCAGGAGTAGCAGAGTTCAGGTTCAAGCACAGGTCCTGTTTGCAACTCAGTGACAAAGCAACACCAGGTACTAAGCCCTGGTTTCACCCCTCACAGAAGGGGAATAACAACACTGACGAAGTGGGCAGATTGAATTTGCAAAGTACTTTTAGGTTGAGGAGGTACTTACTGCTACTTGGTAACATACCCATTTACATCATGCTTCTATAGGTGAGCATTATACAAAACCCACACAGAATTAACTATCATGTTCATGCATTTTGCTGAAGTGTTTTATACATGAACATTTCATCAAGGAATATTTTAAATGCTAAAATATCACTGTAGCCAGCCTGGCTTCAGATCAGCTCTTCCCATGATAGTGAGCAGATCCATTGCGTGCCAGGTCCTTACCAGAACTGCTGCCAAGGGTGACCATCCACAGCCAGAGCACAAACAGCATGACACTGACCATCTTCATCCTGCTGAGACAAAGCACACAGTGTCAAATAACCAGAACCTCTATTATTTCATCACTGTGAACAGCTTTTTAATTTTGAATGTATCTGTTTATTCCTCTACCCAGTAATGCTTTAATTCTGGTATGTTCTTTTTGTATTTCATTAATATTCCTTAAGAACAGCATCTGTACGGCAGCGTCACTCTGCCTGCAGGCAGCTGCATGAGCTCTACAGTCCTGGCAGGCAGTGGCTCTGTAAAGAACCAGTTAATTGACTTAAGTCACTGGAACAATCTATATCCATGAGCACAAGGAGTAAGGTAGATACTTGTGGGCTAGAAATCCCAAGCTTTTACTTAAAAAACACCAAGGTCCTTTGCCAAGACCTCATTCTGCTTGTTTCTGAGAAGGAGTGCAGAAAGTATGCACAATGGCAAATGGCAGGGCAGCTGAAGAACATTTGCACTGAACACATATCTGACACTTCAGCATGACAAGCATGCTGGTACAGTCTGAATTTACAACGTCTGCTGCTGCTGACCTGCTGCCAGAATCCTGACTGCTTCACCCCGTACCTGTAGGCATGACAAGGCTCTTTCCAGGCAAACCCTCCTTCAAACAGCCACCTTACAGGAGTAAACAATCGCCAGGTTTGTACACTTTTTGGAAATGATCTGAATCAAAGTTTGTGCTTTCAAAGCGGCACTGATAGACAAACAACAATCCCAGACTTCCATATTCCCACTACAGAGCACAGCTTTCTGAAATTCAGGATAAATGAACACTGCTGGAGTTTCACTCACCACCCACTCTGGTACCTGGCATTCAGCTCTCACAGCTATTTACACACTGGAATTAAATTTTCCTGTGTTCCTAGATTTTCCAGGATGCAACTTATAAAACAGTAGTCATGAAAGCTGACATTTACTATATGGTGTCATTAACGGGGTGAAGGTTGCATTTCATATTCCTGGATGCTGTCAGATCACAAAGGGAGAAAAGATGGTTAAAAGGCTGAACTTCATTAGAGCACCTTAGCTCTGCCAGGCAGATGCAGTAACGAGCATGGTGATACTGTCAGGAGCACACTCATGATGCTGCTATACAGACTCATGAGGGAATCTGCTCCATCAGGATGAGCTAAAACAGTGGGGAAAGAAGTAACAGAGCTCTCTTAATTATGTCCCTCATAAACCTGCCCATAACATATGCATTACATAGAAGAGCTTTGAGCATAAGCAGAGAGCACCTAAGATTGCAGAGATTAACAAGAATGGGAAACGTGAACTGCACTAGTCAAAATCCAGCAGCGGATATTGAATCCTTCCTTTTCAATGCTTGCTTCTGAAAAGCCTTTGTGTGATGCTTTCCTTCTGCTGGGCTCATCTCAAAAGAGACAAAGGAAATCCAGAGCAAGCCTGTTCTTCTTTGCACAGGCCACGCAAAGGGCTGCAGACTGCCTCAAAAGCCATCAGCCTTCAGAAATGGGCAAGAAGCTAGGAAGAGCACGAGTTTTCTTTCTGGGCTCCAGCTGAAAGGGCTGCTTGTCTCCTACCTCCTTCATCCAAACCAAAATGCCAGCTGCTAACCAAACCTTTCTCTATTGCTATCTACAACCAGTTCTCAATATCACTGAAGACTTCATAGGAAGGTAATAAAATTTGTTTGGTTTAGTACTCCTATGCTCTGAAAATGCTGAAGATAGTTCTTTATGCCATCAGATTGGGTAGAGAGAACCAACACGCTGCACTTTGGGTATTAATTTAGGAACTTTTGGGAATTCAGATGCTAGAAGAGAGGGAGCGTAAACATAAAAATCCGCCATGGTTCCCTCTCCATCTGTCATTAGATAAATGCACAGTATGTCCTAACTCACCCTTATTTTCCAGTGATTCTCTCCTGCATTTTGCACAAATCGGAGTGAATTCAGCCCTGAAGCAAGCAGGAACAACTACTGACTTTGGATGAGTTTCTCGATTAGAGCAAGGCCATTTACATGGCCCCAGGCCAAAATAAACTACTATGCTTTACCCTGTGATACATGAACTCTGCAGTCAGCTAATATTTATACCCATTAACTATGATCATAGGAATATGATTCACTCAACTGTCTCAAAGAGCCACCAGGCTTCTCTTCCTATGAGCAAGGTATCCAAGAGTTCCATGCTTTGCCTGCTAGTAGGAATATTCTTGTTTCTTGCTCTACCCAGGTATAAAATCAAAAGCCCTAAACAGTGTGATTCACTTCTGGTTCATTCCAGGCTCTCCAGAGATATTGCCAGGAGAGCTAGATAGGCACAGAGCCTGTCAGGTTACAGCAATTTCTCTGCTATAGGAATGGGACTCAGCTGACCACAGCTATACAAAATACAAGGGGCCACAGAAGGCATGTTGCAGAGAGTCACGGGCTGGTCAAGGGGAGCCACCACAACCTCCTGGATGCCCTGACCATGCCAAAATTTGCCAGACAAGGTGAAGGAAGAGGATTTTCCCCTTGGGTAAAGAAATTGAGAGGTTGTACACACAATGAAGGAGATAAAGGGGACTGTAAGGCAGGATGGCTCCTGCAGGATAACTTCCACAGTCCAGCTTTGTTCCTTTAGCACATGATTATTAAAAAAACCAAATTAATTTTAGATTTAACAAGATCTGATAGTTTGTGCTACTAACACAGCAAGGGGACCAATTCTTATGCACTAGTGCTGCTGCCACTAGGAAGCTTTGCTTTAAATGGCCCCAAAATCTGTGATATATCCCCCAAAAGAAAGGTCTTTCCACAGAAGCCCTGTGGTCACATAATGTCATCATTTCTCCCAAGGAAGATTACGTGATTCTGCCAGTGACACCAGGTAAAGAGCATTGCATCCATTCAGCCACAGAGATGGGGTGGGTTTTGCAATGCATGTAAGAACCTGATGCCACAAGATTACAGCCCACCCCAGTCTTGCCAGGAACAGAAGTTTTCTCAACCTTTTCCAGCAACCTGCTTCTTTGTTTGTGACATCAGAAAGCATTTTGCCTGTATATGATGCAATTCCAGTGGTGTCTGATTAACTTTCTGCACAAGTGAATATCACTGCACTGAAACACCAGTATCCCTGGCTGCAACCAAAGAGACTGCAAACCCCAATCTGCACTGGAAGGGTTCACACAGCTGCATCCACCCAAAAAGGTCACAGACCTCACCTCTACTACACAAGTGAATAAAATAAAAAGCAAACACTAAAGGGAACCAGGAATAAAATCAAAGAGCAGAGGAGCGGAACAGCTCAAAAGTCCCACCACAGCTAAAAAGCAGGCAATCAGAGCACCCAGAAGAAAGCTGTGAGTGCTCCGATATATCCTCAGCACTTCAGAAACTTCTCACAAGACCAGTATGCTCCGAAGTGTTCTTAATGTCTCCATAAATTAACATTCTAATAATAATTCATAGAGCAGTTAGGGAAAACAATCCATCACTGCTGTTGTGCTGTTGCTAGAAATTTTTTAAGGAACTTATTTGAAATGGGTTTTGTTGTTAGTTTGGTGGTGGGGTTTTTTGGTGGTTATTTTTGGTTGGTTGGTTGGGGTTTTTTGGGGCAGAGGGTATTGCTTTTTTGTTTGTTATTTTTTTCCTCAGATCAGAAATTCTTTCCTTTTCATTTCTGAGCATTTTCTGCTTCAAACTTTCACCTTCTGTCTGTTGGGCAGCAAAGAAAAGCAGGGTGGAGGGAAACACAGCCATGGAAGTGTCTCATGTTCTTAAAGCAGAGGCTGTGGAAAGGTTTGGGCTTTCATTTGGTACTGGCCAGAAGTGGCTTTCATGTCAGAAAAGGCCATGAGCATTTTCATAAAAAACACCTTTTAATAAGACACCCTTTCCAAGCAGACCTAGGCAAGGAATTGTTCACTCCTGCCTTTAGCAGCACGGACCCCACAAAGCCTACGCACTTTCCAAGCAATTACAAAACGCAAGACAGATGTCAAATAAATAATGAGGAGAGCTGCACTCAAAGTAACTACTGTACACCTAGTCTCAAAGTCACGGTACCAATTCTAGAGAACACAGCCGCATTTTCCAAGAAAATGCCTTTGTCCCTCCTAACCACCAGCACCTAGGGAGAGCTGACAGGTTTTTTGCTTTTCACTGAGAAGTCATGCTACAGCATGTAGAACAAAAGCCCCCTTCAAAACCTTGCCAGTAAGCACTCTGGCTGAAAGGACATTTAAAATAAAGCAGTTTCAGAAAGAGGAAAAAAATAACATCAGCCGTAGCTGGGTTTACACATCATTTTCTTTATGTAATTCTGTACCAAGCCCTCTGAGTCAAAAGCATTCAAGAGCACAGGACTGGCCTCAGGAAAAAGATGAAGACACAGGAAGGTTAGCAGAAACCAGGTTGGGCTAGCTTAAGAAATGCTTTGCTTCAATGCCGCATTGAAGGGCACTGAACAGAGCTGAAGGGCTGTAGAACAAGGCTGGTGTTCAGGAGAGGAGCACACCTCCTCTACTCCCATACTGCTGCATGCCCATGAGCCCTGGGTTCTTGCATCATCACACAGCAGCATTGGAGAAAGCTGCTCCGTGAGTTTGCTGGGTTTTATTAAGGAGAAAACACATGAACAGTCCAAGTAAATTCAAAGAATCCAAAAGGCAGACAAAGAGCAGCCTGCAAAAGCAGCTGCAGAAAAGTAATAGCAAAAACACTAATGGAAAGTGGGAAAAGGCCCTTCATCCCTCCAGGAAACACTTTTGCTTTTCAGTATATGCAGGAGTAATTCAGACAAAAGAAGAAATTACTGTAGCATAAAGCATCTTGGTGGCACTTAGCCAGGATTTGCGCAACATCTCTCTGACCTGCCTCTCCTCCGGAGCCTGTGTAGCTACCACATGGCACCGCTTTTCACTGCAGCCTCAGCACTTCCACTTGCACACCTGCCTGGAGCAGGACCACTCCTGCAGTGAGCTGGCCAGTCCTGCAGACAGCCCTCCTGAGCAACACAAGTTACACCAAAATCCCTGGAGACAGGGTAGAAAAGCAGG